TAATGTAATTTGCCGAGAATAAAATCCTTTGTAGTATCACATATGAATCACAGAATGAAAATAACATTGGGAGATGAATTAGGGGAGGGGCCTAAGCGTAATATATGGATCAAAGTAAGGTCATTGTGTGATCCAGAAGTCCACTGACGGACAATTAATTCGTAAATGGAGAGGTGTAGAAAATGCCTGTAATGGTGTAATGAGATGTGGTATTCTGCGACATCATTACCGAGATAATTCAGGGTTATGTCCTTTGAAACATTGATTGATATGCATCAAACACCACACGTCAAGTGCAAATGTGTAAACAGTAACAACTAGAACGTTTTAAACGCACAACAACATTAATTCCATTCCATTATTAATTATTTTCCTATACCTCTATGGAAATTAGTCTAGACAGAAAATATAGAGATTGGACGGGGAAGGGGGGAGGGCACACATAAATTCTGTAAGCACCTGTTTAAAGACCATGACATTACACATAAATGTCTGTGAGCACCTGTTTAAAGACCACGACATTACACATAAATTCTGTAAGCACCTGTTTAAAGACCATGACATTACACATAAATGTCTGTGAGCACCTGTTTAAAGACCACGACATTACACATAAATGTCTGTGAGCACCTGTTTAAAGACCATGACATTACACATAAATGTCTGTGAGCACCTGTTTAAAGACCATGACATCACACATAAATGTCTGTGAGCACCTGTTTAAAGACCATGACATCACACATAAATGTCTGTGAGCACCTGTTTAAAGACCATTTCATCACACATAAATGTCTGTAAGCACCTGTTTAAAGACCATGACATCACACATAAATGTCTGTAAGCACCTGTTTAAAGACCACGACATCACACATAAATGTCTGTAAGCACCTGTTTAAAGACCATGACATCACACATAAATGTCTGTGAGCACCTGTTTAAAGACCACGACATTACACATAAATGTCTGTGAGCACCTGTTTAAAGACATCATAGCTACAGTCTCACAGATGATTTCTAAATTAGAAACAGCGCGAAAGCTGGTTGAAATTCATCGTCTCAGATAACAACATTCTACGTAAAATTGGTGGAGCATGTAAGCTTTCCATAAGCAACACAAGAATGGAGCTGAAAGCTATACAGCAAGCTCTCTTCTGAACTGCTGAAAACAGTGCACTGGAAACACAGTTCCACGAACATAATATTTGTGACAGACTCACAGACAAATTCATAATAGTTGTCCCCCAAAGGGATTGAAAAAAGTAAAGCATCTGTAGAGTAAAACTCTCACCCAGATAAATGTTCTAGGTCAAACAAGGATGAAGTTAAACGGGAAAGTTGACAAAATCTCTTTTATCTAATACAGCACACCTCTTCTGGTAAGATGTCGATGTCTTCTGCACTGGTTAGGTAAATAAAGTAACCATGGAAGGTTTTCATCGACAATCAGAGGGATAGAAACTGCTGGAAAACAAAGTACTATGTAGAGCAGCTTAGAAAATTAAAATATGAGGAATCAGTGCGACAATATGGGAAAATTAAAACGCTAAAATTCGAGTTTCGACACTCGTAGTAGACACAGCACAGACAGCCCATTGTGTAGCTTTGTGGTTAAAAACAAACAAGGAAAAACATTGCTGGAGAAAAAATTGTTTGAAAATAAATAAGATTAAAGTTGTCTGAGTTGACAGTGTGGATTGTGGTTCTTGTAAACTTAACTGATTTGTTCACACAAACTATCACTTAAACCCATTGACCTACCTGGAAAGATCCAGTAGATCCCTTGGCCTGTTTATTTTAGTCCTAGTATCTCCACTGTAATGTTGCCCTGGATATTCTGCCAATTTCACCTTTAATTAATGCCCTCCACATGGATACACCTTCTCATAAGTTTTCTGATATTCCATGATTGATTCTTGGCATTCTCTGAAAATTAAGAAAATTTATCATGTGTAAAATAATGAATTGTTAACCAAGTAATCATTGTTTCAGGTATTTTCCCACGAATAACAATAATGAATACAAATTCATGTCAATACTATTATAGGGTAAGACAGTCCTGCAGGAGAGGGGGAGGTCTCATCGTAACTCAATCAGTGATATTGTACTGTATTCAGTTGTCTATAATTGCCCCCCAGTGGCACAGCGGTATGTCTGCGGACTTACAACGCTAGAAACCGGGTTTCGATACCCGTGGTGGGCAGAGCACAGATAGCCCTTGTGTAGCTTTGTGCATAATTAAAAACAAACAAACAAACAAACTGTCTATAATTCCTCATTGATTGGAATCGGCAAAGGGAATTACCTGAAATATTTACACTGTGACCATAAAAAGTCCAAATAGATTATCTAAGATCAAAGTTATTAAACAAATTGTGGTCGCGCCATTGTATTTATGCAAAGGGTCACGTGAGCAATACTTACATATGATTCCCTCTAGATGGCAGCAGGGGTGGCCGTTTTACCGAAGGATACCGACTATCTCCATTTCCCCTACTGAGGTTTAGTTTTCCCAAGTTTCTTGAACGGTTGACATTTTCATTCATTATAATGCTAAAATGAAATATATATTAAAACAGTATTACTTGTATACTGGCTACAGCAATTTTCAGTTACTGTGGTAAAACAAGATTTGGAAAGCACCTTGTGACATTTTAAATTAGTAACCCGAAATAGGTGTTTTAATTAGCATGTATACAATTTACGATAAGTAATCAACAAAAAGAACTTGAATAACAATGTTAAGTTGAGAGATTATAATAAAATAATTTCACAACAAACTTTTTTCATTCACAAAAACAAATCATTGTAAGACTAGAGGGAAGGTAGCTAGTCAACTCTTGGGCTACTCTTTTACCAACGAATAGTGGGATTGACCGTCCCATTATAACGCCCTCACGGCTGAAAGGGCGAGCATGTTTGGTGTGACGGGGATTCGAACCTGCGAGCCTCAGATTGCGAGTCGAGCGCCCTAACCACCTGGCCATGCCGGGCCAATAAGTAGGACCTAAATCTTTAATCGACTTTCCAGAAAACGGACGTGTAAATATGTAAATTAAAGAAGATTTTCAAGAAACGTACATTAGAGATAAAAAGGGCATTAGAAGGAGTTGACGAAAAAAAAAAACCTTGGAAAAATCGACGAGTTGATAAATCACTCTAATGTACGTGTTATAAACAGATAAAATAGGATATTTGTCAAGTGCAATAGTAGAGGGATGTCTTTACTGGCGAAACAATGATCGTTAATAAACGAGCATTGGAGTTTCACCAAGTACTGGCAGTTTCAAGAATCAATTATAAAAATAGAAAAATTAAATAAGACTGGGATGTTGTAAGATCGATAGAAGACTTTAAAAGAAGTGGAGAAGCAAAGAAGAACAGATATACAGAAGATGGAACAAAGGAAAAGAAACTGTGGAACACAAATAATGTTTGTGTGTTTAGAATTTCGCGCAAAGATACACGAGAGCTATCTGCACTAGCTGTTCCTAATTTAGTACTGATAGATTAGAGGAAAGGTAGCTAGTCAACACTACCCACCACCAACTCTTGGGATACTCTTTTACCAACGAATAGTGGGATTGATCGTAACATTATATCGCCCCCATGGGTGAAAGAGCGAGGATGCTCGGTGACTGAAATTCGATCGCCTTAACCACCAGGCCTTTTGAGAGGGAGAAGAAACGCAAAGTAAAAAACAAAGAAGATGAAGAAAGAAGATGATGAATGGATTTTGAAGATGATGGTTTATATAATTTGGATTACATATTCCAAGTACTTTGGCTGCCAATTTCACCTTAAATCAATGCCTTTCATGCCCTTCACATAGATACACTGTCTCACAGTTGTGATTATTTACTTTATCAAAGCAAAGCTAAAGGTCGGTTGGCATAGACCATTCTGTCAGTCTCTATTGTGGAGAGAAAAAGTACGTGTACACTGTATAATACGTTTAATTTTTTTTTTAAGTTTGAATATTGTCGAAATACGGTAAAAGTTAAAGTATTTCAACTAGATTAATTTAAAAAAGAAAAATATATATACGGATAGTAATTATTTAAAGATTATTTTTATATTTATATTTTGAAATATGACTTTTATAAACTAATTTAGAAAAATTTGAAAAAAAAATAAAAGGTGTGGAGACAGTAATCATTAAAGATTATTTCTGTACGTTCAAGCTTTGTTTGTTTGTTTTTAATTATGCACAAAGCTACACAAGGGCTATCTGTGCTCTGCCCACCACGGGTATCGAAACCCGGATTCTAGCGTTATAAGTCCGCAGACATACCGCTGTGCCAATGGGGGGCTTCAAGCTTTGAGATACGAATTAATTTCACAGAATTTGAAAAAGAAAAATGTATAGATAGAAATGATTTAAAGCTTATTTCTACATTTAAATTTTGAGATATGTTTTTGTTATGAATTAATCACATTATGCTTAGAAATATGAATGTGATTGTATGAAATTAATTACAAAGGAATTATTTTCCTTCTCATAAAGATAAGTCTCCTAAGGCATAAATAATTGTTAAGGGGTTAAAAATCAAACTTATGTGAAACCTGTAAAATGTAATATTTCTAAAGCTTACAGCTTAGTAAATCCTCCAGTGAAACTTGTCTCTGTAAACCACAAGCGTGGCTTCACTAGGCACGTGTATAATCTTATGGCAAATCGACCGGAAATGACGTTTTATAAGTTCCGCAGTTATATATATATATATATAATCCATGTATGGTTATATTCAACGCATATGAAAGAACTTATATCTAACCATATCCAACATTGTTTTTAATTTATTATAAAAATATCGATGTTTAAAGAAGTGTAATTGTATTCTTCCTCGCTAAATGTATTATCAACATTAATAAATAATGACAAATTAAATGGTGCGTCAATAAAACGTTCAGTTGTACACACTTATTTCCTTTGTAGCTAAGCCTTATCGAATGTACAATCTCTTGTAGCTAAGCCTTATCGAATGTGCAATCTTTTGTAGCTAAGCCTTATCGAATGTGCAATCTTTTGAGCTAAACCTTATCGAATGTGCAATCTTTTGTAGCTAAGCCTTATCGAATGTGCAATCTTTTGTAACTAAGCCTTATCGAATGTGCAATTTTCTTTTTCCTAAATACAAAAATTGAAGATTGATTTATGAAAAGTTATCAAACTCAATTATTGCTGCTATTATTCCCTTGGCTACAGAAACATTCTACCTTCCTCACCTTCGAAAATACGTAACGCCGTAGTGTAATAACAATAGCTACGATAACGCCCTCTACCGTATATATATATCAAAGTAAAGCTAAAACTTGATAAGCAGTGGTCGATTGTGCGGTGTAGCGTACGTGTACTTTGGGTTAAATAGATTGTTTTTTTTGTTTAGAATCGTCGAAATACGATAGAAGTTGGGGGATTTCAAGTAGATTATCTTATTTGCTACGTAAGCATTTCAAACGGTGTATATATATAACAAACTAAGTTCTTCAATCAACATGATGAACTGCGGTTACTTAATTACGATTTTGTCAGTCACTATCGTTGTGACTGTAACTTATGGAAATTTACTGACGTTCTTACAACTCCCACAGCATGACGGTGTAAACAGAGTGTGCCGACTATCGGAAAGGAACTTTACAACAAAAATCAACTCTGCTGGCTTAACGGTTGTTTTATTTCGTAAAGAAACTCAAGGTTTACGTTGTCCATATGAAAACTCGTTTGCTCAGGTAAGACTAATGAAGTTAAGGTAGGCTTGAAATCTGTGACGTGTATAGGGGTGGATTTGTGGGCTTGAGCCCCTACCTACCTGCCCTCAAAGTCTTTATTACCGAGAAAAAAAAATTAAACTACTAAAAGATACGCCCAATTCTACACCTCATTTGCTGGAAGTTAAACAAAACAATTCGGCTCAAATTATTGGCAAACAAGGACTTTTTGCAGTTAAAAGTTGTATGCTGTTAAGTGTTAATAAGTAAATTCATTGTTTTTAGACTGTTTATAAGAGCAACTGAACATTGATACAAGATTATTTGTATGTTTCTTACGGGTTTTTACTATGTATACCAGAGGCAACCCTCAACCTCTACAATATTTTAACACCTCCTCCCTGTATACTAGAGGAAACCTACAATCCCTCTAGTCTCCCTTAACATAACGGGCTACCCCCCTAAAAAAAATTGATTTACCGTTTACGAATACGAAGTTTGTTTTTTGTTTCTTCTTGTTAATGAACTACCTACCTACCTTTTTAATGTCCTCTGCACAATGTTGTAAATTTAATATTCGACGAAAAACAAAAATAAAAGTATTAAACTCGAAACGTCCCTTCAAAAAAAAAAAAATAAATAAATAAATAAATAAA